GCCGGGTGCTGATGGAGCAGCGGGTGCGGGAGAGGGAGTCGCAGCAGCGGCGGCACATCATGCTCACCCCCTCTCCTGCTCCCCGCTTCCCTCCTTCCCTCCCCTTCCCTCCCTCCGTCCCCCCTGCTGGCCCACCAAGGTGAGCCGGGTGCTGATGGAGCAGCGGGTGCGGGAGAGGGAGTCGCAGCAGCGGCGGCACATCATGCTCACCCCCTCTCCTGCTCCCCGCTTCCCTCCTTCCCTCCCCTTCCCTCCCTCCGTCCCCCCTGCTGGCCCACCAAGGTGAGCCGGGTGCTGATGGAGCAGCGGGTGCGGGAGAGGGAGTCGCAGCAGCGGCGGCACATCATGCTCACCCCCTCTCCTGCTCCCCGCTTCCCTCCTTCCCTCCCCTTCCCTCCCTCCGTCCCCCCTGCTGGCCCACCAAGGTGAGCCGGGTGCTGATGGAGCAGCGGGTGCGGGAGAGGGAGTCGCAGCAGCGGCGGCACATCATGCTCACCCCCTCTCCTGCTCCCCGCTTCCCTCCTTCCCTCCCCTTCCCTCCCTCCGTCCCCCCTGCTGGCCCACCAAGGTGAGCCGGGTGCTGATGGAGCAGCGGGTGCGGGAGAGGGAGTCGCAGCAGCGGCGGCACATCATGCTCACCCCCTCTCCTGCTCCCCGCTTCCCTCCTTCCCTCCCCTTCCCTCCCTCCGTCCCCCCTGCTGGCCCACCAAGGTGAGCCGGGTGCTGATGGAGCAGCGGGTGCGGGAGAGGGAGTCGCAGCAGCGGCGGCACATCATGCTCACCCCCTCTCCTGCTCCCCGCTTCCCTCCTTCCCTCCCCTTCCCTCCCTCCGTCCCCCCTGCTGGCCCACCAAGGTGAGCCGGGTGCTGATGGAGCAGCGGGTGCGGGAGAGGGAGTCGCAGCAGCGGCGGCACATCATGCTCACCCCCTCTCCTGCTCCCCGCTTCCCTCCTTCCCTCCCCTTCCCTCCCTCCGTCCCCCCTGCTGGCCCACCAAGGTGAGCCGGGTGCTGATGGAGCAGCGGGTGCGGGAGAGGGAGTCGCAGCAGCGGCGGCACATCATGCTCACCCCCTCTCCTGCTCCCCGCTTCCCTCCTTCCCTCCCCTTCCCTCCCTCCGTCCCCCCTGCTGGCCCACCAAGGTGAGCCGGGTGCTGATGGAGCAGCGGGTGCGGGAGAGGGAGTCGCAGCAGCGGCGGCACATCATGCTCACCCCCTCTCCTGCTCCCCGCTTCCCTCCTTCCCTCCCCTTCCCTCCCTCCGTCCCCCCTGCTGGCCCACCAAGGTGAGCCGGGTGCTGATGGAGCAGCGGGTGCGGGAGAGGGAGTCGCAGCAGCGGCGGCACATCATGCTCACCCCCTCTCCTGCTCCCCGCTTCCCTCCTTCCCTCCCCTTCCCTCCCTCCGTCCCCCCTGCTGGCCCACCAAGGTGAGCCGGGTGCTGATGGAGCAGCGGGTGCGGGAGAGGGAGTCGCAGCAGCGGCGGCACATCATGCTCACCCCCTCTCCTGCTCCCCGCTTCCCTCCTTCCCTCCCCTTCCCTCCCTCCGTCCCCCCTGCTGGCCCACCAAGGTGAGCCGGGTGCTGATGGAGCAGCGGGTGCGGGAGAGGGAGTCGCAGCAGCGGCGGCACATCATGCTCACCCCCTCTCCTGCTCCCCGCTTCCCTCCTTCCCTCCCCTTCCCTCCCTCCGTCCCCCCTGCTGGCCCACCAAGGTGAGCCGGGTGCTGATGGAGCAGCGGGTGCGGGAGAGGGAGTCGCAGCAGCGGCGGCACATCATGCTCACCCCCTCTCCTGCTCCCCGCTTCCCTCCTTCCCTCCCCTTCCCTCCCTCCGTCCCCCCTGCTGGCCCACCAAGGTGAGCCGGGTGCTGATGGAGCAGCGGGTGCGGGAGAGGGAGTCGCAGCAGCGGCGGCACATCATGCTCACCCCCTCTCCTGCTCCCCGCTTCCCTCCTTCCCTCCCCTTCCCTCCCTCCGTCCCCCCTGCTGGCCCACCAAGGTGAGCCGGGTGCTGATGGAGCAGCGGGTGCGGGAGAGGGAGTCGCAGCAGCGGCGGCACATCATGCTCACCCCCTCTCCTGCTCCCCGCTTCCCTCCTTCCCTCCCCTTCCCTCCCTCCGTCCCCCCTGCTGGCCCACCAAGGTGAGCCGGGTGCTGATGGAGCAGCGGGTGCGGGAGAGGGAGTCGCAGCAGCGGCGGCACATCATGCTCACCCCCTCTCCTGCTCCCCGCTTCCCTCCTTCCCTCCCCTTCCCTCCCTCCGTCCCCCTGCTGGCCCACCAAGGTGAGCCGGGTGCTGATGGAGCAGCGGGTGCGGGAGAGGGAGTCGCAGCAGCGGCGGCACATCATGCTCACCCCCTCTCCTGCTCCCCGCTTCCCTCCTTCCCTCCCCTTCCCTCCCTCCGTCCCCCCTGCTGGCCCACCAAGGTGAGCCGGGTGCTGATGGAGCAGCGGGTGCGGGAGAGGGAGTCGCAGCAGCGGCGGCACATCATGCTCACCCCCTCTCCTGCTCCCCGCTTCCCTCCTTCCCTCCCCTTCCCTCCCTCCGTCCCCCCTGCTGGCCCACCAAGGTGAGCCGGGTGCTGATGGAGCAGCGGGTGCGGGAGAGGGAGTCGCAGCAGCGGCGGCACATCATGCTCACCCCCTCTCCTGCTCCCCGCTTCCCTCCTTCCCTCCCCTTCCCTCCCTCCGTCCCCCCTGCTGGCCCACCAAGGTGAGCCGGGTGCTGATGGAGCAGCGGGTGCGGGAGAGGGAGTCGCAGCAGCGGCGGCACATCATGCTCACCCCCTCTCCTGCTCCCCGCTTCCCTCCTTCCCTCCCCTTCCCTCCCTCCGTCCCCCCTGCTGGCCCACCAAGGTGAGCCGGGTGCTGATGGAGCAGCGGGTGCGGGAGAGGGAGTCGCAGCAGCGGCGGCACATCATGCTCACCCCCTCTCCTGCTCCCCGCTTCCCTCCTTCCCTCCCCTTCCCTCCCTCCGTCCCCCCTGCTGGCCCACCAAGGTGAGCCGGGTGCTGATGGAGCAGCGGGTGCGGGAGAGGGAGTCGCAGCAGCGGCGGCACATCATGCTCACCCCCTCTCCTGCTCCCCGCTTCCCTCCTTCCCTCCCCTTCCCTCCCTCCGTCCCCCCTGCTGGCCCACCAAGGTGAGCCGGGTGCTGATGGAGCAGCGGGTGCGGGAGAGGGAGTCGCAGCAGCGGCGGCACATCATGCTCACCCCCTCTCCTGCTCCCCGCTTCCCTCCTTCCCTCCCCTTCCCTCCCTCCGTCCCCCCTGCTGGCCCACCAAGGTGAGCCGGGTGCTGATGGAGCAGCGGGTGCGGGAGAGGGAGTCGCAGCAGCGGCGGCACATCATGCTCACCCCCTCTCCTGCTCCCCGCTTCCCTCCTTCCCTCCCCTTCCCTCCCTCCGTCCCCCCTGCTGGCCCACCAAGGTGAGCCGGGTGCTGATGGAGCAGCGGGTGCGGGAGAGGGAGTCGCAGCAGCGGCGGCACATCATGCTCACCCCCTCTCCTGCTCCCCGCTTCCCTCCTTCCCTCCCCTTCCCTCCCTCCGTCCCCCCTGCTGGCCCACCAAGGTGAGCCGGGTGCTGATGGAGCAGCGGGTGCGGGAGAGGGAGTCGCAGCAGCGGCGGCACATCATGCTCACCCCCTCTCCTGCTCCCCGCTTCCCTCCTTCCCTCCCCTTCCCTCCCTCCGTCCCCCCTGCTGGCCCACCAAGGTGAGCCGGGTGCTGATGGAGCAGCGGGTGCGGGAGAGGGAGTCGCAGCAGCGGCGGCACATCATGCTCACCCCCTCTCCTGCTCCCCGCTTCCCTCCTTCCCTCCCCTTCCCTCCCTCCGTCCCCCCTGCTGGCCCACCAAGGTGAGCCGGGTGCTGATGGAGCAGCGGGTGCGGGAGAGGGAGTCGCAGCAGCGGCGGCACATCATGCTCACCCCCTCTCCTGCTCCCCGCTTCCCTCCTTCCCTCCCCTTCCCTCCCTCCGTCCCCCCTGCTGGCCCACCAAGGTGAGCCGGGTGCTGATGGAGCAGCGGGTGCGGGAGAGGGAGTCGCAGCAGCGGCGGCACATCATGCTCACCCCCTCTCCTGCTCCCCGCTTCCCTCCTTCCCTCCCCTTCCCTCCCTCCGTCCCCCCTGCTGGCCCACCAAGGTGAGCCGGGTGCTGATGGAGCAGCGGGTGCGGGAGAGGGAGTCGCAGCAGCGGCGGCACATCATGCTCACCCCCTCTCCTGCTCCCCGCTTCCCTCCTTCCCTCCCCTTCCCTCCCTCCGTCCCCCCTGCTGGCCCACCAAGGTGAGCCGGGTGCTGATGGAGCAGCGGGTGCGGGAGAGGGAGTCGCAGCAGCGGCGGCACATCATGCTCACCCCCTCTCCTGCTCCCCGCTTCCCTCCTTCCCTCCCCTTCCCTCCCTCCGTCCCCCCTGCTGGCCCACCAAGGTGAGCCGGGTGCTGATGGAGCAGCGGGTGCGGGAGAGGGAGTCGCAGCAGCGGCGGCACATCATGCTCACCCCCTCTCCTGCTCCCCGCTTCCCTCCTTCCCTCCCCTTCCCTCCCTCCGTCCCCCCTGCTGGCCCACCAAGGTGAGCCGGGTGCTGATGGAGCAGCGGGTGCGGGAGAGGGAGTCGCAGCAGCGGCGGCACATCATGCTCACCCCCTCTCCTGCTCCCCGCTTCCCTCCTTCCCTCCCCTTCCCTCCCTCCGTCCCCCCTGCTGGCCCACCAAGGTGAGCCGGGTGCTGATGGAGCAGCGGGTGCGGGAGAGGGAGTCGCAGCAGCGGCGGCACATCATGCTCACCCCCTCTCCTGCTCCCCGCTTCCCTCCTTCCCTCCCCTTCCCTCCCTCCGTCCCCCCTGCTGGCCCACCAAGGTGAGCCGGGTGCTGATGGAGCAGCGGGTGCGGGAGAGGGAGTCGCAGCAGCGGCGGCACATCATGCTCACCCCCTCTCCTGCTCCCCGCTTCCCTCCTTCCCTCCCCTTCCCTCCCTCCGTCCCCCCTGCTGGCCCACCAAGGTGAGCCGGGTGCTGATGGAGCAGCGGGTGCGGGAGAGGGAGTCGCAGCAGCGACAGCAGCAGATAGAGGACGAGGTGTTTGTGGCGCGCGAGAAAGCATTGGCCGACGCCCACCACTACAGGTGCTGCTGTTTCCCTCGGTGCTGTGCTTGCTGGTGTTCCCTCATTGCTGTGTTTTGAGTCGACTCAAAAGGCAGCAGCAGACAGAGGACGAGGTCTTTGTGGCGCGCGAGAAAGCGGTCTCCAACGCCCACCGCTACAGGTTTTCTGGGGTGCTGTGTTTGCTGCTATGTTCCTCCCCTGGTTCAAACATGCCCAATCCGTCTCGCTGCGAGAAGAAAACTCGTATCTTTCATCAGAAACATTCCTTGTCTCCCGAGATGTTCTTTGCATCAAGAGGGACCTAAGTGATTTTCAGATGCTACAGAAAGTGGGGGGTTTGTGCAAGGAGAGAGGATTCAGCCGTGTGTGTGTGCGCGTGCACGCGTGCGTGCATGCGTGTGTCTCTGCGTATGCGTGTGTGCGTGTGCGTGTCCAACTGCCGCCCACGTACAGAGTGATGCGCGAAGCAGAGGCCAACAGTGCGCTGCTCACTGCACAATTCCTGGAGCTCAAATTCATTGAGGCTCTAGCCAACAACACCAAGCTTTTCTTTGGCGATAAGGTGGGTGCGTAGGTGGCCTGGGGGGGCGGGGGGGGGGGGGGCCTAGGTGGGTGAATGGGTGGCCACCTCTAGATTCTCTAACTACTGGCTATTCCGATCATATAGCACTGAATCGTTTTACGAAATCAAAGCCCTCATCGTTTTATGTGCTGACCATGTGTGAAATGATTTTTTTTTTATTTTTTTTTTTTGCGCTGATGTGGATGTGTGCTTGTTTAATTGTGCAGATACCCTCGTTAATCGATCACCGACTCCTGTCCCATTGGGGTGGTCAAGCCGCCCAATAAGGTCTACCGTAGTTGGGCTAGCGTTGAAAAAATGTATTTTACAATATTATAATTTTTAAACACATTGATGTTTTCAAAATTGTGTATTGTGAAAGCGAAGCTGCCTGTACCGAATATTTGGCAGCGTCGAAGCGCGCTAAACGCCCTTCTCCAACTACAAAAACCGTGGGTTGGAGTTCATTCCCTCCACCCACGTTTCTCGTTTTTCAACGGCTCAATCAACATCCCCACCACCCACCCCGGACCAACTACAAGACCACTGCTGCTTGGACGGACGACTCTATAGCTAGTAATATTTGTATGTACTAGCATGTGTTTAAGAACGTTGCATATGTTGTAATAAGCCAGTTGCAATGAGAACGATGCCAAATTATAAGGACAAGAAAGCAAGCTTTCTCAATCTCATAGACCTCTTGAGAGTAGTGAGACAACTGCATTTCCGGATATTGCTGTAGTGCTCAAGTGCAGTACTATCAGATTATCTACAAGTGTGCTAATGTTGTCAATAAGGAATAATAGCTTAAAAGTAAGCTTGGGAGCCATGGCTTTTAGGTAGGGGGCTAAACACTCAGACAACACACATCAGTTGACGGATGTAGGATACAGCACATGCGATGCTCCGCTCATCCCACTCCACTCCACACCACTCTATCACCTGTGACTCAGAACCACGCCCGCTCGAAGTAGCTCTCTGCGAGCCCTCTCACCAACCTTGCTTGCTTCCACCTTCAACTCATGCAGCTTTGGGAAGCTTCCCAGCAGGCCTCCGATGCCCTCTGCTGTGATTGCATCACACTCAAGCACGGTCAAATGCGTGAGCATCTCCAATCTGCTCCTTGCAACCACCCGGTCTGAAAAGTCCTCACTGTCTTCCACGATTAAAGCCAGCAGCACGGGGCAAGCACGCAGCATCAGCACCAGCTGCCCCTCCTTTAGCCCGAAGCACGAAACCAGTGTGAGGCGCTTCAGCCGGCCAAAAGCAGCCGCAAGTGCAACAGATTCAAAGGACTGCGGCTGAGAGCCTGGCTTCGAAATGGCAGCAGAAGCCAAGTGAGAAGTTGAGCGGGCAGAGGAAGGAGAAGAAGACGAGGGAAGGGATGCAGGAGCGGAAGAGAGGCACATGAGAGGCGATTCAGAGGGAAGGGAAGGAGGCAGCCACGTAGGCATGGGAGTGCAGGTGAAGTGAAAGTCCTGTAGGGTTAAGGAGTGTAAGGGAGGGCACACCACATCCACAGGAATCCCGGAGATGCCACACGATTTGCCTCCCATGTTCCGTGCTCTTCTGCTGCTGCCCACTGATTTTCGGCTGCCCATTGCGTTCCTTTTGCTACTGTTGTTTCTGCGGCCTGACTGTCGTCCCACCCTTGAGATTTTATCCCCTTCCACCCCTCTTCCTTGTTGCAACGATACTCCTCCTTCCCTTTGCTCCGCGGTTGCGGCTGCATCACCAATTACTGCTGCTCCCTCTGCTGGTGCTGCTCCTGTGGCCGCAGCACTCGCACCAGCAGCAGCACCAGCATCCGCGGTACCAGCATCAGCATCAGCGGCAGCAGCAGCAGCAGTTGCACGAGGCACGCGCATGGTCCTGAGGGCCTCAGTCGCCGCATTGCTCTGCTCGTAATACTGCTGCAGAAGCGATTCCATCACACCCATCGCCTGCCCCTCCGATTCAACCCCAGCACCAAACTCTCCATCCTCACTCCCTTCAGCAGCATCAGCAGCTTCAGCAGCGTCAGAAACATCAACAAGCAAGTCATCATCACCCGGAAGCAATCCGTCAAAGTCTTCCAGACGCACAAACCCCCCTTCCCCCTCGCCTACCCTGCTTCGCGTGCCCACAAACACACCCGCAGTCGTGGCAGCAGCAAACGCCCCACTCACCGCATCCTCGAGCCACTCCTCGCGCGCCGCCGCCGCGTCTTTCTGATTCACGGCCACTCGCAGCGCCCGCCACGTTGAGATGCCCGATCTGATTTTAGCGATGGCGAATTTGATCTCGGACAGCGCGTCTAGGGGCTGTGCCCGCGCCATGCGCGCCCAGTGAGCAGCGGACGGCACGGCTGTGTGGCACTCCTTGGCCGTTTCCATGAGAGTGACCATGTCTCGACTTGCCTCTATGAGGTCGGCTCGGGCTGCTGCTGCCGCTGTTCTGATGTCCACATACTCTCGTTCTTCTTCACCGTTTCTGGAATCACCACCTGCCCGTGGTGCTATTGCTGCTGCTGCTGCAAGCCCTGCTGCTTTTCCCACCCTTGCTAGTGCGGCACCAGCAGCAGTAGTTGTACATCCATTTGCTCCCTCCACCCTGTCAACCTCTTGTGCTTCACATTCCTCCCCTCTACCCCCCTCTCCAACCTCCCGTCCTTCCTCCCCTCCTGCCTCCCCTCCTACCTCCCCTCCCCTCTGCACCACGCGCACCAGCATGCCCACAAGACTCTCCAACGACACTCGTTGAAGCACCACGCTTCCCCCCCCCTCCCCCTCTCCATCCCCCCCTCCTCCTTCCCTTCCTTCTCCACTCCTAGTCTCAGCATCTCCCTCCCTCGGCGCCGGAAGAGTCTCCGACAGTCCGTTAAGCACAAGGGACTGCAGGCCGCTGCAGTGCGCAAGCATGCCCGGGCGGAAGGACGGCAGGCCTGAGAGCTCAAGCGTGTGCAAACGCGGCGAGGAGAGGTGGAGGAGAGAGCGGAAAGGCGGGGCGGTGAAGAGGCGGTAGGTGGTGCCGTGGAGAGAGAGGGAGGCGAGGGCTGGGTTGGCTTCAACCACGGCTGCTAGGGCGTGGCTGGAGACCAAGGGGCAGTTGTGGATAGTGAGGTGGGTGAGTGTGTGGAGGGAGCGAGCGAGGGCGTGTAGGTCGAAGGGATCGATGGTGCAGGAGAGGAAGGAGAGCGAGACGAGGCGAGGGAAGGATGCGAGGGGCGCGAGGCAGGATTCGAGCTTGGCGGAGCGGAGGGTGAGGGAGTTGAGGGAGGCGCGGACAGATGAGGAGGAGGAGGAGGAGGAGGAGGAGGAGGAGGCGAGGAGGGAGAGGGTGGAGGGAAGGGGGTTCCAGAGTGTGAGGGAGGTGAGGGAGGAGCAGCGGGTGAGGGGGGTTAGTTTCGAGGCAGGGATGAGGAGAGCGAGGGAGTGCAGAGCAGGGAAGGCGTGGACAGGAGGGAGAGGGTTGCCAGTGGAATGGAGGTAGATGATGGGGCGACGGGCGAATGGAGAGTGGAGCTCCAGCGATGTTAAGAGGCTGACAGGTGGGAGGAGAGGGGATGGGGAGACCAGGGGAATGAGGGAAGGGAACGGAGGAAAGGGGAAGAGAAAATGGGACGGGGAAAGGGGAAGGGGGAAAGCAGGAGATAAGAGGGGAGGAATACCCGAAAAGACAACGCGCTTCAAAAGGATTGACTGCATTAGGGCGTTGAGGAGAGGAAGGAGGGGAACGGAGAGGAGGAGAATCAGAGAGTAATTCCGTTGTGAGCTTGAATGGTCGATCTTGTGACTCATTATGCTGAGTCAAGTGTCATGTCAATAGCGAGGACGAGAGACGCAGCTCACGGGCATTGCTTGGCGAGCTTCATCCACGCAGCAGCGCTCATGTGAAAATCCCCCCATTTCGCGACGAGCTTCAGCTTTTCAAGCTTCGGGCAGCTCGCACCGACGCTCGCCAGCAGCTCGCTTCCTCGGATCGAGCAAACCTCCACGGTAAGCGAGATGATGTGGGTAAATACCCTCGAAAAATCGTCGAAAGCTTTGAGAAAGCTGCGCACGTTGCGATACTGGAAAGGCGAGACGAAGAAGAGGTTGAGCGAGTGGGGCGTGCGGCGGGAGAGGCGGCGAAGGCGGGAGCAGGCGAGAGCGACGCTGCAGCGATCGCACGGGTGTTTCACCCGGGCGAGAAGCAGCAGAAGGAGCTCGTCCGGGAGCGACAGCAGGCGACTGTCTTTTGTTTCGTCATTCAACAACGCTTTCCGGCGCGTTCTTTTCATGGTGCGAAGGGTAACGGTTAGGGTTACGCTGTGAAGCGACTTCGGCTATTGGGAGCTTTCTGGTGAGTTCAAGAACCCAAGAAGAGGTGGCACTGATGGAACAAATAGCAGCTGAAACAAGTCAGCCACTAACGCTCGGAGCGCGTCCAAGAATTGTTGGGCTGGGAAATCTCTTGGGAGCCACTTTTTGAAGGGGACAACCCCGCTGGGCTGTCGGCGAAGTTTGGTGCTGCTAGCAAAGCAGGCTTCCAATCGGTCCAGTCCGGTTTTTGTGGATGTTGTATGTGTACCATTACATATGCGAATCTGCTGTGCTCTCAACTTCTGTAATGTGCTTTTATGTTGATGGCTCCCATTCCCAAAGATTGACACTCAAACACTACTACTTCCACATCTAATTTAGAAATTCAGGCTAGGAGCGTGAAAAGGCTTCAAAAGTGGGGTCTTCACACTGAAAAAGAAGCATTGACAGACAAATAAGGGAAGTTAGCAAGAGCCGAGAGAGCAAGTTCAAGAGAGCAGGTTCACGAGGGACAGAGGAAGACTCTTCTCAATGATTTCTGGATGCAGATTGAAGCACATACGGTATGTACTAACCTAGAGCAAACGAGCATGCAAAGTAACTAGCACAACACGACTCCCCCGCCAGCCATCACACAACCCCTCGTTATGCACTCACCCTGCTGAGTGTGAAGTTGCAGTGGACCTTCTGCTGCAGCTGCCACACGGACCGCAGGTGCACCGTGCTGTTGTACCACCACCCCACCCACGCTGCTCCGCACGCGCACCATCATAACAACCACCATCACCATAGGTCCATAGACCTCTTTCCACTCACCCCATTGAGTGTGAAATTGCAGTGGACCTTCTGCCGCAGCTGCCACACGGAGCGCGGGTACACCGTGCTGTTGTGCCACCACCCCACGTTGTCGCGCACGCGCACCGTCTCGTTGCAGACGTGCAGGTCGCTCACGAAGCCGAGCTCGCGGTAGTGCAGCAGCAGCAGATCGTCCGTGCTGAGGTTTAAGAGCTGCATTGTGGGCGCGTCGTCACTGTGCGGCCCAAACACCCCCATGCGCTCCACCTGCAGGGGCGAGGGGGGAGGAGAGGGGGGGGGGTAACGTGGGGAGGCGGAGGTGGGGGGGAGGAGGGGGAGGGGACAGGGTGGGTTTTTCGTCACTGTGCGGCCCAAACACCCCCATGCGCTCCACCTGCACTGGAGAGGGGGGAAGAGGGGAGGGGGAAGGGGGAGTGCGGCACATGGTAGGAGGGATGATGAGGGGTGGAGGAGTTAGGAGTAAGAAACACTGAAAAACATTGAAGTTTGCCTGTGATTCATTTTTTAAATTGCCAAGAAAACAGGACGCCCCTTTTGGGGGTCCACGAGGCAAGCAACACGCTCCTGTTACAAGCTACAACAACAAGCCAGGGCTCACTCACTCACCTTCCGCGGGTCAGCAAAGAACTTGCGGTGGCCCTGCTCCCTCAGGGACACGTTTGGACTCAGCAAGCAACACGCTCCTGTTACAAGCTACAACAACCACCCAGGGCTCACCCACTCACCTTCCTGGGATCGACAAAGAACTTGCGGTGGCCCTGCTCCCTCAGGGACATCTTGGGACCCAGCAGGCAAGCAACACGCTCCTGTTACCACAACAAGCCACGTCCCACTCACCCTCCGCGGGTCTACGAGGTACTTGCGGTGGCCCTGCTCCCCGAGGCACATCTTGGGGCTCACAAACCGGCCGCCCTCGCCATTACTATGGCACGCGGGCTCCGGCCAGTGGAACACAAACCGCTCCACCAGAAACTCATCGTCCCTCTGCCCGCCCCACGCCTCGTCCGCAGATCCCGGCAGCAGCGCCTTCTTTGCCTCGTCGTAGTCTGTGTATTCGTGCGTGTATTGCGGGACTCCTAGGATTTCTTCTTCGTGTTCGATCCGCGGGCGACAGAGACGCACGGAGAACCAGAGCGAGCCAAAGGTGATGACTGCTGGGGCGGGCTGTGCGGGTGCGTGGGATGGTGAGTAAGCTGCTGCTGCTGCTGCTGCTGCTGCGTTGGTGGCGGCGGCTTCGGTGGCAGGGGTGGATGAGGAGGAGGAGGATGGGGGCGACGGGGAGGGGAAGCGGGAGAGGAAGGCTTGGAGGGGAGGGATGGGGAGAGGGGTTGCGGAGGGAGGGATGTAGAGAAAATCGTCCATGTCTAAATAGAGGACCCATTGAGAGGTGGTTCGGGCGCGATAGAGACAGTCATGGAGGGCCAGGATCTGCCCGTGGTTCCACGGATTGAACGGCCGGATTCCGTCGAGAGCGACGATCTCGACGCGGCCCCGCGCCACGTCAGCGGCCAGCGTAGCGCGGACTGCTGACGTGGCGCCGCCTGAGTCGTAGAGTGTGGAGTGGTCGACGCCGAGGAGGAAGTGGTAGTGGAGGAATTCGAGGAGGGAGCGAGGGAGGACGGAGGGGCCGTAGAGAGGGGCGAGGCAGAGCGTGGTGTGGTAAGGGAGGGAGGGAGAGGAGAGAGAGGAGAGAGAGGGAGTGGAGTGTGGTTTGGCTTGGTGAGAACTGCTGGGAGTGAGGAAGAGGGGGGTGGGGGTGGGGGGAGGAGTGAAGGAAGTGAGGAAGGAAAGTAACGGGGGAAAAGGAAAAAAAAGGAAATGAAACATTGGCATGGGAAAGGCTGAAATAGTATAGCTGGGAGCAGAAGGGTGTCTAGAGTTTAGGGTTTAGGGCGATGTGATGTGCGCACACCCACCTCACACCTTTGGGCGCACAGGAGCGGATACGAGGGGGGAGAAGATGGGGGAGAAGAGAGGGCAGAGGAGCAGAGGGCAGCAGGCATGGCAGTGGGGAAGGGGCAGAGCAGAATGCACGTGGGGGGTTGTGTAATGTGTTTGATAGAGAGCGCTCGCACAAACCACCTTAGCTCAGACCTCAGAGGAGGGTGGGAGGAGGGGAAGCAAGCACCAACCTTAGCAGCAGGCACGCACCTTAGCAGCAGGCACGCACCTTAACAATAGCAGGACGAGCTCATCGTCCACGACTACCCCGACCACCCCCTCATCGACAGCAGGGATGGGCGAGGGGAAGGAGCAGAGCAGAATGCGCAGGGGCGTGTCTGATAAAGAGTGCTTGCTTGCACCCCCCTTAGCAGTAAGCACCCACCTTAGCAGCAGTGGGATGAGCTCATCGTCTACGACTGCCCCGACCACCCCCTCATTGACAGCAGGGATGGGCGAGGGGAAGGAGCAGAGCAGAATGAGCGTCTCGTAGGTCGTCTCCCTGCTGTCTGCCGGGTAGATGATGCGCAGGGACCCCGTGACTTCCGTGGCGGATGCTGCTGACGGGACTGATGCTGCTGCTGACGTGGCGGCTGAGGCTGACGTGGCAGATGAGGCTGACGTGGAAGAGGAGTCGTTGGATTGCTTCCATCTGGACGGAGGTGGTGGGAATGGGGTTAGGGGAAGGGCGTGGGAGGAAGGGGGTGGGAGGAAGGGGGTGGGAGGAAGGGGGTGGGAGGAAGGGGGTGGGAGGAAGGGGGTGGGAGGAAGGGGGGGTAACAGAAAGAATGGAGGAAAGGGCGCGGGGAGGGACGGAACAGAAAGAGTGAGTGTGTGCATACAAGAAACGAGGCCTGAATGCTTGCAATGAGGAGGAACTAAGAAGAATCTTAAGAGGAGAGGAAGAATTTTACACGAGGATCTCTGGAGCACGAGGAGAGGAATGAGGGAAGCAGAGAGGTGTGGGGGGGGGATACACGAGCAGACAGGGCAAGGAGGCGAGAGATTGGGCTAAGGGTACGTGCACGGTAGGGCCAGATCAGGATTTCGGGGCGTCCCTAGGAATGGAAAAAGGCAGGAAGACAAGCAAGGGCGGGACACAGGCAAGGGCGGGGAACAGGCAAGGGCGGGGAACAGGCAAAGGCGGGGAACAGGCAAGGGCGGGGAACAGGCAAAGGCGGGGAACAGGCAAAGGCGGGGAACAGGCAAAGGCGGGGAACAGGCAAGGGCGAGGAACAGGCAAGGGCGGGGAACAGGCAAGGGCGGGGAACAAGCAAGGGCGGGGAACAGGCAAGGGCGGGGAACAGGCAAGGGCGGGGAACAGGCAAGGGCGGGGAACAGGCAAGGGCGGGGAACAAGCAAGGGCGGGGAACAGGCAAGGGCGGGGAACAGGCAAGGGCGGGGAACAAGCAAGGGCGGGGAACAGGCAAGGGCGGGGAACAGGCAAGGGCGGGGAACAGGCAAGGGCGGGGAACAGGCAAGGGCGGGGAACAGGCAAGGGCGGGGAAGCAAGGGCGGGGAACAGGCAAGGGCGGGAAGGGCGGAACGCACACACAGTGGTGGGCGCGGCGCAGGTCTCTTGCTGCTCGCAGCCCCACTCCCAGCGCTGCAAAGGACGCCTCCCCCACCTGGTACGAGCTGCAGGGGGTTGGGCAGCACGGTGCAGGGGGAAAGGGGGTAGATGCAGAGCGGTTCAGAAGGATGCAGTAGGAAAGTTCTCTTGCTGCTCGCAGCCCCACTCCAAGCGCTAAGGACGCCTCCCCCACCCGGTACGAGCTCCAGGGGGGTTGGGCAATGCGTGGGAGGGGGAGAGGGTACAGAGAGGGTAGGTAGAGGGGGTGTGAGGTGGTGCGACAAGGAAACATAAATGGCTGACTTAGACAATCAGGGCCAAGTGAAGCCCATATGACTTTAGAGTCGACTCAAAAGTCATTGTCATGCGGTGACTTTTCAGTCAACTCAAGAATTATTTTGAGGTGGGTGGTGTGACAATGGATCATGGAGAAGAGCCTCTGCCAAGAGAAGAGTGGCAGGTGGTATGGCGGCTAGGGACTGATAGAGAGTGAGAGAGTGATAGCAGCACGACCAACTGCCCTGGGAGACCTGTATGGTGGTTTCACCTGAAGCGCCGGAATCACCGGACGTGCTGGAATCAACTGAAAAGTGCTGGATTCACCTGAAGTGCTGGATTCACCTGAATTGTTGGATTCACCTGAATTGTTGGTTTCACCTGAAGTGGACGAAGCTGTAGCCACCAAATCGGGGAAGCGTGCCCTGAGATGCCTGGGCATTCCCCCCCAGTGCTCCGTGACCCGCTGCTGCTGACAGCCGCGCCTGCAGCTGCGATATCACCTCCTCCTGTGGTGTGGACACAGGGAGAAGGAGGAGATTGATGGGTTGATGGAAGGGAAGGCAGTGGGTGGGCGGAGTGAAAGTGGGGTGGGGGGCAACAGCAGGCCCCGCAATGTGCCTGTACTGTGACCATGATTTCAGCACGTCGCCACCCTCATGCACCCCCCACCACCCTCATGCACCCCTCACCACTCCTCGTGCACCCCTCACCACCCTCACGCACCCCTCACCATCCTCTTGCACCCCTCACCACTCCGCCATCACCTCACCTTCTTTTCCAGCTCCGCCTTGAGCCGCGCTGCCTCCTCCCCTCCTCCACCCGCCCCTCTCTCACTCCTCTCCCCTCCTCGTTCCACCAGCTGCCGAGCAACCCTCTCCAACCGCTCCACAGCGCTGTTCACCGCACTGTTCACTGTACTGTTCACCACACTGTTCACGTTGCCAGAAGACGACGCAGCAGCCAAGTGGGTTCGAATCTGCTCTGCATGCTGCACCAGATCAGCCACGCGACCTGCTGCTTCCTTGATGGACATTTGAAGGGACTCATGCAGGGATTTCAACTCCTTTCCCAGCTCCTTCCCTTCACTCCCCCCATCCACTCCCCCCTGCTTCCCCCCCACCCCCTGTCTCAGCCCTCCCCCTGGCCCCAGCTTCGCAGCTACAGCAGCAGCAGCAGCCGTTGCAGCTTCAGCCGCTGCCTTCTCTCCTATCCTCGCTATCTCCACCGCCGCCTCTTTGCTTCTCTCCACCAGCGCTTTACTAAGTTCCGAAACCGTCTCCTTGCTGTGCTCCCCCACTGCCGCTGACACCGATCCCACGACTCCCTTTGTCACCTTTTCCAGCTCCCCTTGAAGCTCCAGCCTCAGTCCTGCTTGTGCCACTGGCCCAGCCACTCTCAGAATCATATCCTTCACCGAAACCACTTCGTCCACAAGTTCCTGCTTGAATTTCTCGGTCAGCTTTTCGGAATTTGCCGAAAGCTGCCCGGCGTGCTTAGCTAAGAGCGAGCTGAGAGCGGCGGCGGAGAGGGGGGGCGGGTCGGAGAGGTGCGTGGTGGCGGCAGTGCTAAGAGCAGCGAGCTCGTTTTCAAGAGTGAGGGAGTGGGTGCGTTGCTGTTGGAGGAGGGAGTGGAGGCGGGTGAGGGAGTTGAGAGCCGCGCTGGTGCGGTTGTTGATTTCGGCAACTGTCGCTGAGAGGTTGGACATCTGTTCTGACTGCATGCTCTCGTGGTGGGTTATGCTGGGGAGGGTGGGGAGCCAAGGGGCGGGAGAGAAGGGGGAAGGGGAAAGTCCTGGTGTGGGCTGTTAGTTTCAACTGCTATCGCTGAGAGGTTTGACATTTGCTCTGACTGCATGCTCTCATGGTGGGTTATGCTGGAACGGGTGGAAAACCAAGAGGGGACGGGTGGGGAGTAGGAGAAAGGGGAAAGCACTGATGTGGGTTGTTAGCTCCAAGTGATGCGGCTGAACGAGGTTTGACATTTGCTCTGACTGCATGCTCTCGTGGTGGGTTATGCTGGGGAGGGTGGGGAGCCAAGAGGGTGCGGGCGGGGAGAAGGAGGAAGGGGAAAGCACTGATGTGCGTTGTTAGTAGTTGCTGTCGCTGAGAGGTTTGACATTTGCTCTGACTGCATGCTCTTGTGGTGGGTTATGCTGGGGATTTGAAGAGCCAAGAGGGGCAGGGCGGAGGGAGGAAGGGGAAAACACTGGTGCAGGTTGTGAATTTTAGCTGCAGTGGCTAACAGAGGTTTGACATTTGCTCTGACTGCATGCTCTCGTGGTGGGTTATGCTGGGAAGGGTGGGGTATTGGAGACACGAGAGAGAGAGGGATGAAGAGAGAGGGCGGTGACACAGCTGCTCATTTTGGCTGGACTTTTTTTGGTGGAATAATGTCACTTGATCTCACTGCATTCTCTCACTGCATTCTCTCACTGCATGCTCTCACAAACACCTTGCAAAGTTGTGCTCTCATGCACTTTTGCCCTGTACATGAGGGGCAAGGAGACACTGACCTTTGTGCATGGCCGGGAACCAAGTCGTGATGGGTCACACTCTTGGTCCTCTTAATCAACGCACTGACCAGCACTGACCTGGACATGAGGGGCGACGTGGTGATGTCTTCCTTCCTCAGCGCGTCTGACAACGACCCAACGTACTGCCATGGAGCACGGCGGATTGAATGGGGAGGATGGGGGCAGGGAGGGGGAAGGATGGAGGGCACGGGAATTACAGGAGAGGGGAAATATTTCGAAAACGGGCAGTTGAACCACGGAATGCGCTCTTCTTTATCTCCTGACACATGACTTCAATGCTCGCCAAACCCATGTGCATTGAGGTGATTTTTGAGGCGCGTAAAAAACGGGCAGCTGAACCACATAATGCGTTCTTCCTCTTTTTCTGTCTCATACGTTCAATGCTCACCAAGCCCAGCCCTTCTTCTCTTAGACTTGGTCGCAGTCAGTACGTGACTTCGCAGGTCACGAAAACAGCAGTAGCGGGCTTCAGATTGGATCTGAAAGTTGAAGAAGTAGGTTGCTTTCCAACCCAAGTTGTAAACAGAAAGTTTCACTATGAAAATGTGATACAATGAGGAAAACAGAATTGATATTTAAGCAATCCGAAATCCGAATTTCAAAGTGCGCCTCGCGTAACGCGCCTCGTCGCGAATCCGAAATTCGTAACAGTAACCGACGTTGAAAACCGTAATTCAAACTGAACCGTCGGTGAAACCGACTTTCTCCAACTCCACCGAACACCGCCTCCAGAAAGGTTGGGAAAAATTCTGGCGGTCCAGAACGTTCTCCCTTCTCTTTCTCCTGAAACCCTCGTTTTCACCAGCTCTTCCTCACGATCTCTCACCGTCAGAAACTCAATGTCCAGCCTATTCCTTCCCACCACCATAGGTAAGGCATTTTCCAGCCGTCCCGTTTGTCGTTTTTTCGCTCTTGAAGTCGGTGCAGCGGCGAAACCACTTCTAACAATCTCCCCTGTGGTTTGCTGCTGCTAACCCTAGATCTGAAAATCTTCATCACTGTTCTTGCGCCTTGCTCCCCTGTGAGTCCTGCAGGTTCCGCATCCCGACGAGATACTTGCAGCGCTCGAAATTAGCCTTCGGAAGGACCTTCGTAAGGAAATCGGCTGCTTGATCTTCTGTCCGTACGAACTCAAAGGTAAATGCCTTTTTCTCCATCTGTTCACGCACCCAATGGTATTTGATGTCCATGTGCTTTGTACGTCCGTGCCAGTTGTCGTTTTTCGCCAATGCTATGGCCGATTTGCTGTCCGATCTGATGGTAGTTGGTATGCCTGTACAAGAATAATCGGTATTCGAGAATTATTCGATATTCGTTCGAATACCTGAATTCGAGAGAATAAGAAACAGCCGTGTATTCGAAAATATTCGTATCATGAGTATTCGTGAATGTAGAATATCCGGCTAACGGATATTCGGGATATTCGTTACTATTCGGTATTCTACCATTACCCACCCCCCACCCCACCCCCTTTCCCACATGCGGCTATCATCTTTGGCAATCTGTCTACAAGAGGCCTCATGAGAGCCGTGCACAAAAGTCTAGCAAGATCTTTGCTGAGCAGGGTTAGCGAAGGTTCATGGTGCGGGTTTGAGTCGTGGTGCTGATATTATAAGGTGCATTGAATCACACTTTGTCGAACATGCATTAGCCGTTCGATACTGGCTATACAAAACATCTTATTACTGGACACTTCTTCGTATTCGATTCGGATTCGGTGGTATTCGAATCGTATTCGTATTCGGTTTCGGGTCAGTATTCGGTCAAATAAGAAAACACCCAGTATTCGGAGAATATCCATGAAAACTATTCGTATTCGTATTCGTATTCGTTTGTACAGGCTTAGTAGTTGGTCCTGCAATGTGTATCCCCATTTCTTGCATCAAACGCCGAAGCCATACTCCTTCTTGACAGGCATAGAATAACGCCATGTATTCCGCTTCCGCGCTCGAGAGTGCAATGTCGTTTAGCTTCTTTGCTTGCCAAGTGATTGCTGTCCCGCCCAGGAGAAAGACGTATCCATAAGCTCCCTTCCGGTCCTTCTTGTCTGATGCATGAGATGCATCAGCATATCCGATTAGCTCCATTGTTTCTTCTCCGCCTTCGTAGAGTAGCCCCTCTTCTCCCCGTTGCTGCAGATAAGCGATTGTGCGCTGCATCTCCTTCCACTTGCGGCCTTCTGGCTGCAGCACGTTCTGCCCCAAGAAGCTGGCAGCATGTGCGACGTCTACCCGCGTACAAGAGACGGGGTACATCACCGATCCGACGCGTGACTGGTAAGCCTTCAATGCTCGCTCCTTGCTGCCCCATTGGATGAGTTCTTCTTCAGGATTGATTTCTTTCTCCGAGAGGCTGCTGAGCGGAGTTGTCACGACCTTGGTGCAGCCTGGTGTCCCAAATCGTTCTTGCAGCCGATGAATGTACTTCTTTTGGTAGAGCAGTAGCTTCTTCTCCTCTCGGTCCCGCTCCAGGTTCATGCCAAGGAACAACGTGGCTCGCGGGATCTGCTTCACTTGGAAAACGGCTGCAAGGTGAGCGCACACCTCCTCAACTCTGACCTCCAAAGCTCCGGCCACTAGGATGTCGTCGACGTAGAGTAGGAGATATACTTTCTCCTCCCCTTCCCCTTTCGAGTAAAATGCTCTGTCGCACTGACTTTTCTGGAATCCTCCTTCAAGGAGGCGTGCATCCATAGCCCTGTACCATTCTCGAGGGCTTTGTTTCAGCCCATAGAGCGCTTTCAGCAGCTTGCATTTTCTGTCAGTCCCGTCCTCCATTCCTGTGGGCTGATCCATGTAGATGTCTTCTTGAAGCTCTCCGTATAGAAAAGCGTTCTTGATGTCGAGTTGAACCATGATGTAGTTGCGTGCTGCAACTATCTTGAAGAATGTCCTTGCTGTAGTCAATTTGCTGACTGGTGCATATGTCTCCGTGTAGTCGATCCCCTCCACTTGCGTGTAGCCTTTTGCCACCAGCCGTGCTTTGAACCTCTCCAGCTGCCCCATGTCACCTGTTTTTATCTTAAAAATCCACTTGACGCCAACGGCGTGCCTCCCTTCGGGCATTTGGACAAGTTTCCAAGTGCCTCTCTCCGCGAGAGCGTCCAACTCCTCTTGTATAGCCGCTTTCCACTGCTCCTTGTATGGTCCTGAAAGTGCCTCCTCGATGCTCATGGGTTCTTGTGGCAAGCTGTAGGACTCTCTCCGTTGATCAATGCGGTCGCCGTCGACGTGAGAAGGAGGTGAGTGTGCACGTCTTTCCAGCATGTCATCAAGACCTGTTGGTATTTCGGATTCGGCTTCTTCGTCCGCATCCCTCTTCCCAGCTCCTCTCCTTTCACCGAAGCATCACTTGCACACGTGCCTGCTTCCATCTCCCCTGCTTTCTCCGTGCTTGTACCTCCTTCCTCTCTCCCAATGAGAATAGCACCATCCTGCAGCAAGTTGTCGATCTCTGCTGCTCCTTTGTCATTGTTGCTTGTCTCGAAATTTTCCCAAGGGTCGCTTTTGCCCCCAGTCCTTGGCTGCTCTGTTTTTTCAGCTTCATCCTCTCTAATGTCTTCATATTTGTCGCTCGCAGATTTTGGCAGGAGTGGGGTTGTAGGAGGCTCCTCCATGTCACCGCTGTTGAGCGTCTCCTCAGTTGGCTCCCACACCCAATCCACTCCCGGTTGGGTATGTTCCTCCTCATCTTCTTCCCCTTCATTGTTCGCTGTCCCCAAGCCTTCGTTTTGGGCATCTTCAAGCAGTTCCTCCGCTCGTTGAGGTGTGGCAGGTGCTGTTCCTGGAGTTGTGCCTTTGTTGCTTGCCTTCCAGTCCACGTAGTTAAGGTTTTCGTAGAATGTCACATCTCTGGTCGCCAGCACAATCCCGGTCTCCACGTCCTTGATGATCCAGCCCTTGCTTTCTGGACATGTTCTCAAGTGCACCCCCCACCTTGCCCTTGGCAGAAGTTTGTGACCAGCTCCAGCATGAGGCCTGTATTGCGTCATACAGCCCCATACCCGAAGAAACTTCAGGTTAGGCTTCCGTTTGTAGAATGCTTCGTGAGGTGTCAGGTCCGCTACGAGTCCCTTAATCGGTAGGCGATTTTTCAGCCAGCAAGCCATGCCCAGCGCGTCTCCCCAGTAGGTCAGAGGTAGCTTGCTGTCCGCTATCATGCTTCGCACGCTG